TAGGTTTCTGTGGCCTGATTTGATATGGTTGCTTGACATTAACAGCTATGTCCCTGGAGCATGGATTGACAATGTGGGCAGTGACTATGATGTGCCAAAAACGACAACACTCCTTTTGGTTGGTCCAAAAGGGTGTGGAAAAAGCAGTCTTATAAACAAAATCTCAAGAATATTTGAAGATGACAAGTTTGCATCAGAAAGAGCTCAAGTATCATGTATTGTTATGTCATTGGTTTGTTACAATGTCAATTTGTGGAGAAGCAGTCTTCACTTTGAATTATTTGCTACTAGATAATCTTATATTTTACTCAACTTTTAATCAATTTTTTCTCTGAAGCAGACAAACCATTTGTTGGAGATGGGACCTACTTTCTTCAAGAATATATGATCCCAAGAGGGTCGACTTCTTTCTGTCTTTACGATACCAGAAGTTTGAGTGATGACAAGTCTGAAAACATTGATATGATAACGTGTTGGATGACCAAAGGTGTCCGTCATGGAGAACTCATTATCAGGTCTGAATTCCTATTTGACCAGCATTTTCATTTGAGGCATATAGTTTTGCCCATTTAGATTAATTCGTCTCTGTGATTTGCTTATCAGGGAATCAGATAGTTCAAGGTTAAGGAGCAGAATGAAGTGCAAAACTCAGGAAGATAATTGTCTGTCTACTGAGACGAGGAAGGTTAATTTTGTCATTTTTGTTGTTCATGGTGTTTCATTTCTGAAATCCATGGAAGGTGATGACAATGAAGGGAAACAGTATATACAATTGATTACTAAAGTTTTTAATTGCCCGCACCTGTCATTCAAAGGTTAATACATCAGTAATTTTTATTTCATGTCATTTATTCACTTTCTCAACAGTTCCTGTTATCTCCCCCTTTTTCTATGTCTTGTTTTAATTTACTGATAATTTATGGCTGTGGGAATGCTCACATGAAAGAGGTGGTTGTAACTAGTGCTATGAGCAGAAAAGAATACAGAAGAAGGAAGCATTTCTTACCCAAAAAGGAAAAAAAAACAGTGAGATACAAGCAACCCCCACTCCCCCTCTTTTTGACATTGCACAAAATGACAGAATAAAAGGCTTTATAAAAGGGGGATTGAACGTCAGTGACAGCATATTAGCTTTAGCTTGGGAAAATAGAAAATCAAGTGAGAACAACTAGGAGATTCCCTCTCTGATGTTATGCCAGAGAAAGAGGAGAAGAATACTGGCAAGTTATCCTCAAGCTTCAAATGGGAGGGATAAAAAAACTGATGAAAGACTTTGAACAAAATCTGTTTTGCAAGTAATTGGAAATTCAATTACCAATACCTCAAAGTGTAGGTGGCTTTTCTGTAGTAGGCTATTTGTGTCACTGTTTTTACAAGAGAAACTTTATGTGAATCCAAGAAATTCAAAATTTAAGCCACCTTAAAATGGTGTTGAGTGTCCTAAAACATTAGCTGCTAGTTTGAACATAATGTCTGTGGTTAAATGTTTCATCTTTATCTTTTGTATTCTTGTTTTCTCCTTTGTCTCTTCTTACTTTTAACTATTTAGATCAGTCTCTCTGTCACTCTCTCTCTCTCTCTGTATGTCTATATAGGGTGATCAAATTGCTAAATGCTTCCTTTTTCTTGTATTTTAGATGATAAACCTGTTGTTGTTGTCACACATGGTGATCTACTTTCGCTGTCTGACCGTTTGCGTATTCGTGTCCATTTGGGAGAGCTTCTGGGAATTTCACCAGCGAAACAAATTTTTGACATTCCAGGTGATTTTATCAAGTTACTTTTTGACTGTCTTCACATTCATGATCCAATTCAATTACCTTTTATCACCCGGTAATTTATACTATGATTATAAATTATTAAGTATAAACCTTTGAGCTTGCAGAAAGCTGTGATCCGATAACAGAGTTGACAATTGTTGAAATGTTGCGGTATTCACTTGAGCATGCAGATCGAAACCTTCCTCGAAAGAACTGGGTTCTTGACCAGGTATGGTTTTTCTTGTAAGATTTATCTGAGCTGCTTCTCATTTTACACAGTTTAAAGTATGGATGAACCTTGTATATATTTGATGTTATCATCATAACTCACACAGATGTGCACACACACATGCACAAATGCATATAAGCTCTTAAGTTTAGCTCAAGCAGCTGGTAGGAACCCTATGTATATCTGTGTCTGTTAATTTGCAGTATGAATTTCCATGCAATGTAATCATATTTCAGGAACCTTGTTTGAACCAGTGATGTCAGTATTTTGCTTCCTCTGTCCCAGAATATCCCAAACGTTACTGATTTTAGTGGATGACTCTGGTTTATGTCAATTCAAAATAAAAAAGATGAAGAAGCATGTAAAAGTGCACTTGGATTCATATTAGCTGTGCAAAACAAAAACAAAGAATAAGCAAAGTCATTCTTTTATGGAAAATCTTACAATTCTCTCCTAATCTAATGTGGCCCCGATGTTAATGCAACAGTCAAATCTATGTCAAAGGGTGACCGCCTTTATAACCCTGCCCTGTTTACTCGTCTACCTCCAACCATCAAGTCAAATTCGTTGTGCACAACACAGTTCACAAACTCTTAAGTATCTCTTATCAAGAACCTTGAAATGCTGTCTCTTAAGCTGGCTTTAAACTCCCGGTGGAAGTATTTCTCATTTTGATGCAAATTGTTTTCTTTTTTTGGATAAATATACAATTTAGTGGAGAAGCTTGTGATTTCAAATTTGGCCCTAGTTTTGGTACTCATTTCTCGGCAGATGCCAATGCTAGTGGTTTGCCTCTTCTCTTGGTGGTTCAGGCATAGCAATTTTACCACTACAATATACCATGTAAATCCCTAATTTGATTGTTGGTTCTCAACAGAGTAGTTTTCCGCAATGGATGTGTCAAAACCAGGTTTTATTAAACGTAATATGCAAAATTTATATTTCTTGATCGTGCAGACTCTATGTTATATGTGGTAAGAAATACAATTCAGTGCTTCTGAATGGTGTATAACCGGTGTTATAAAGTGCACCCTGCCAAATGGGACATGACTAATTATAGTTTTTGTAACATCATTCTTGTTTGCTGTTGAATTTTTTTCTTGCACAAGCAGTCCTCTGTGTCACAAGCATGCTGACTATGGTTTGTTGCATTCAGGTGCACAAGGTTTCTGTACCAGCATGTGCTTGTCTGCTAATAAACCTAGGGATCGCACTGGTATCTGCCCGTATGAAACATCTGAATGTAGACCATGCCCGTAAACCAAAATCTCGCAGAGATCGGGGTACTATCTGGCACAAGTGGTTAGACTAGTACAGTTACCTTTTATGTCAGGTTTGTTGCCCTTTAATCAAATTCTTATGGAAGATAAACATAGTTTGACTGACTTCATGTGTAAATGAAATAAGCTTTTCATATTAAATGCGGCCCATTCGAATAACCTTTTGTATCACTCTGGAATTTATAATGCATTGTACTCTTGTGTACTTGTTTTGAAGTGGGTTTCAAGATTGACAGTGAATATGTTGATAATGTTAAGCTATATCCACTTGTCAAGCGCAAACTAATGTAATCATTTGATATCTTACATGTCTGAACTTTTGCTTTGTTTTATTTGGGAAGTCTTAACATTTTTGTTCTTTACCCGAATACTATACTTAATTTCACCTTGTTGAATTCTTTATTAATGCTTCCAATCATATTTTGGCTTGTGAGGTGGAACTTGCGGGTGACATAGTGACAATGATATCGAGTATCACTGTTGCAAGGATCTTTGTTTGTCACTAGGGAAAAGATTAATAAGGTGATATACCTCCTTTTCCGGCAAGTTCATTTTAGGTGATTCCTTGCATGGATAGGGCATGCTGTCATCTACCGATCATTTCAGCTATGGCAGATGTGAGAGTGGATGGAGCATGTTAATCGCCATGGCCAGCTAAACTCTGACTGGGGCCTGGGGCCCCAAAACCAAGGGTCGATAGACCTGCTTGTAAATAGTCTGATAGGTGGTGAGTCTTTCTGAGCTTGGTCTACAGCAACCCGAGTGAGTGGTCGTTTGGATTTCTCAATCCTCCAGCTTATTCATGTGTCAGTTGAGCATTCATAGGAAGTTTCCTGGGTTATGCCGCCTTTCCAAATACCAGCTTTGAGATGAAAAACGTCGATATCTAAATCGAAGATCACAAACCGAGTAACCATTTGAACCTGAGCCTGACTACCTGAATTTTCAAATGGATAAAGTGGATTAGGGCGATGTAGTTATAAATTCCTGGGCCTACCTTAGCAGAAGGAAAGCAGTCTTAATCCTCTTGATCTGAGCTTGTATGATGGATGAAATTAGAGTTTGAGGATAGCGGCCATCTACAAGCCACGAGGCCATTACTAGGAAGACTCCTATGCCCAATGCTAAACCAAGACACAACTTCTGGTACTAAACAAGATTTTAAGTATCCTGTTATTGAAATATGGTCTCCATGCATCATTGACGAAAAAGCCTGCAGGAAAAGAATTAAGGCAAAAGATGGGTCTAACATTCCAACCACAGAATTCTGAACTTGCCGCAAGTATTCCTTAACATTGACATATTGCATCAATCTAAAAGGTTGTGGGGGAGGTTTATGGCCTAATGCTGAGACTTTTCTGGCTCTAATTGAACAGGAATTGTCCGTTTAACTTGAGTACACAACTTGGATATCCCACTTGGGTCGGATTTTCTACTCCATAAGTTTCTGAAGATAAAACATAGAACAGCATGTACCTATTACCAACAATTGAGCCTTTAGCTAAAGCTTCACGAATCTGGCCCTCTTGTATCCTTATGGGAAAGCATCCTTGTCGTGGAGCTCTTGGGAGAAGTGGTATGACAGAAGCTGCTTGTTTTGCAAGATTGAAAATAACTGAGGATTGAGTACAAGCAGTATTTTCTGATGCAGTTAGGTGTGATTATGGGCATTATATCGCCAATATATTAAAAATAGATAAATATGCTCAAATAAAAATTAAAACAATAAAGTGAGAAATTTAACCTTAATATATTTTTTATTTTCCATGTTTTCTAATGGTGTACAAATTTCAACAACTAGCTTGTTACATGGAAATCTTTAAAAAAAAAAAAAAAAAGACACGAGAGTATGCCCCGAAAAGTAATAATGGAATCAATGACTCACCCCAGAAAATCTTGAGGATTTATGCTACCGATGGCGAGGAAAAAAAGAATCTCAATTGTTGTACCTTCTGCAAATAAATGGAACTGCCGCCAATAATCTACTGGAACAAACCCAGGCTGCATTTTGGTAATCCATGAAGAAAGTATACATCATAAAATATATCATTTTCTGCACTGCTGCAGATTGAAAAAGGATGAACCGAGGCAAAGAAATGACCTCTGAAAAAGTACTTCAGGTTATAACTACAATATTCCAGATGTAGTACTGTTTGGAATGCTCTGCAGAAACATAGCCCTAGCACCAGGATCAGTTGAAAATTGACCTAGCATAGCAATGGTAGCCGTGTTACTGCCAAACTTCTCAATCCCTCTAGAAATCATACAGGTGTGATTAGCCTCCACAACCACCATAACATCTCCACTAAGATTGATGAAACCGTCTCTGCTATTTGCCTGGTGAGTCTTTCTTGTACTTGGAGCTTAAAACCATAAAAATGTACTATTGACTGCAAAAGGGACTTTCCAATGGGATTGAATCCTTCAGGACAGAAGTATCCAATATGGACCACACCATGAAAAGGAAGTAGATGGTGCTCACATTGAGACCAGAATGATAGATTCAACTCAGAATGCATCTGTTCATTATTGTGGGAGCAGACTTCCCTGCTAGGTTTTAGTTCTGTTCTGCCACAAGCAAAGCCATTCAGCTTCATCTCCAAGGTTGTATTCTGAAAGTTCATCAACCACCTCACGAAATGGGTAGGAGTTTCTACAAGCTCTTTCCTTAATGGATCTTCACCCAAAGATCTGAGTATTGTAGCTACTGCAGCAACCATTCCAGGGTTGAGTGCTACTAACTGAGGTGAAATTTTAGCAACTGAGGAAGAATAGGAAGGGCACCAACTTTGTTCCATAGAGTCCCTAATTAGAATTTTCTCCACAGTTACTCCTCTGAATTTCAAAAGACCCAGAAAATCACTCCAAGCAATAGCATTTTCATTTTCAAAAACCCCTGAACCAGATGACACCAGCACCTTAACCCATCCTTGATGCTTTGAGTCAAGAAAGACAGACTCCAGATTTGGGAAATGAATGTGGAAACACTGGAGTATAACAGCAACCCCTGCTGGCTTGATTCCATGGTGCAGAGCTGAGCATACCTCATCAGCAAGACGCTGTGGGTCTTGCAGTCGTTTTGCAAAGATATCAGCAACTCTGGAGAGTTTGCTTAATCCCACTACCCGCTGACCAGATGGCACATATCCTACATGACACTTAACCTGAAATGGGAGCAAGCAAGACTCACAGTATGAGAACAGGTCAAGATCTCGAACAATCACAAGCCCACCGGCTCCTCCAGCATGACCAACTCCATCATGGAAACCCACTTCAGGGAATAAAGCTCCCTGAACAATATCCTTTACTTTTTGTTTGTAACCTGAAGAAGGTAATGGAAAAACCTCGATCAAAAGTTAGCACAGAACATGAGATTTCAAGAACACATGCAAACACATATGCCTATGAGTAAACAAACATAATATATTCATGCAAAACAATGCTCAATCGATAGGAAAGTAAGACACGTCTTATACAAATAAATCATTAGTAAAGGACCTTATTATAGCTTCAAAAACTTCATGTAAACAACATATAATCTTGCATGCCAATGTCTATATTGGAGCCCATTACTCGCAAGCTGAAGCCCAAACATACTTTAATCAAACAACCGTAATATACTCATACTTTAATAATATTTCTCCGTTGCATTTGTTTGTTTTGGCTTGTTCAAGCCGGTTAAGTCCCATGCAGCAGAAAAAGGAAACTAATACATGGACAGCATCTGCATGTTGCTTTATCAACAGTAACAAGACCTCGGAACTGGACCAAAAAGAAGAAAAAACAACCTTGTGCATATTGATTGCGGATTACAAAACGTAACTAAAGGAAGAGCATTAGAGCAGATCACTCCCATCACCATCGAAGATAGTGAAGATTCTCTAGCTAATTCAGTCTTAACAAAAGACAAAACCTTTATTCTACTTTATCGCTGAACCAGACGCCAAAGAGTGAAAATTAACAACCTTCTTCAACTGGGTCTGCGTGTTATAAAATATGTAAAAAAAATGCAGATCTTAGAGAAATTATAGTAATTACTATTACTATCATATGTAGCTAGAATCAGGGAAAAGAAAGGGTGGGTTTAGAAGGAAAAGAAAATAAAAAGCACCTCTTGTTCCTTCTCGAAGTGCCTTGGCAACACGAAGAGGGGTTTTCTTGAGACCTTCTCTATTGACATCTTCACCCAAACCCTGCAACAGAACTTTCACAGCATCCTCAATAGCTATAGTCTCTGGTTCTTTCTCCAAACCCAGGTCACTTATATCCAGCTTCATTCCATTCTCAAGCTCAACACAAAAATGGCCCTCATCCAAAGCGCCCATTGACAGAAGCACAAAAGACAAAAAGAAACCAACCTTGATCCAAATTTAAACTAATGAGAATCAAAAGCTTGAATGAATCCAAAAATCCACAGGACAATCAGAATGTTAATTCAAATCCAAATTTTACCAAAGAAACTTGTAAAATCCGAGGTACCCAGATGCAAAAAAAAAAAACGTAAAAGAAAGATATGAATAAATATAGAGAAAGAGATCAGCTGAGGAAACAAAGACAGAGGAGGAGGCGACTGGAAAGGAAGGGATATGTAGGGCTGCCGTTGGCCTTTGAAATGTGTGGATCTTCTCCTATGTTTTATATTATTATTTTTTAATAAAAGAAAGACGAAATCTTGTTTGCCATAGGTAAGTGAGGGGTGGGGGCCATTCAGAAGGGCTGTATTTGTACGGGAGTTGCAAAAGCTATCTCGCCTGCTGCTGCAGCCTCCACTGTTTCGTTATCTCTACCGAGGGAATATTGCCGAGAAAAGACAATGGTGGTGGCGCCCCGCGGAAGAAGGGGAAAGGCAAGCAGAGGTTTGGGTTTTTTGACACCTTAAAATTTATAGCCTTCCCGGAGCTCTTTTTAAGGCAAAATTGAGTGTTTGGTTTTTTGACTAGTTGACACCAAGGGCGGTGTGGGGAGAGAGAGGCATGAGCCAAACAGCGTGTTGTAGGTTTGGGTCAAAGGATGAGTGGGGCCCCAATCTAACATGGGTAGGAAGAGAGAGCGGCACATCTCACCAACCCACCAAAGCGAAAAGAGCCCGAATGTCCCCGAATCTTTGCTTGTTAGCCACCACAAGGGTTATGGGCCAATTTGGCTTATGTCATTGTCCACATCCTCAAATCTTGATGCAAATTTGTCTTTTTCCATTAAACATCAAGATTTGACATGCTTTCAGACATGCAAATTCATGGTAATGATAGAATGTAATGATGAGTCTGGCTTCTTTTAATGCTTTATTAGGAATGCCCTCATTCTACTCAAGTCTTTTCTCTCTACCATCCCCGAATATTGCAGTTGTTGTGTGGAGCAACCTTTTCTTACCAAAAAGAAAAATCAACAAGTACACGGAGTTCCTTTAATCAAACGTCATAATGTTTAAAATACTTATGATCAGAACTACACCCAGTAAGTCATTGGTTTCACAACTATTGAAGAAGAGGTTAGGTGACTGGTTAATAAATTAAGCTTCTCAAGTAAAACAACTTCGATTAAGGTTTCAACCAAAAGTCAAATCCATGCCTAAGGTTGGCATCCTTTTCAGCTGCTTATTGCTGATGAAAGATTGAATGCTATACTGGGCCAGCCCATCTAGCTTTCTCAACAACCACATTATATTATATTTGTTGTAAACATACACGTGAATGTCTATTTTATTATAATTTAAGATTTTAAATCATCTCAAGTAGCTCCACAAGTGAGAGATAGTAATGTAATTTGATTTGAATTATTATATTTAATTATTTATATTTAAATTTAAATATAAATTAGATTAAATTAAGATTATGGTTTAATCTATTCAAAATCAAATCTTTTAAATATTATCTTTATATTGTAAATTCTATTTAAATAAGGAGTTATTAACCTATAAATATATCTCTCACTTCATTTGTAAATATACACTCAAATAAAAACTTTTTAATCATTTTAAATACTTTCTCTTATGATTGTTCTTTTAAGTTATATTTTATAATACATTATCAGCATGATCCTCTAATGTTTCAAGTTTTGGTATTATTTAATTTTCATCATCTTCAAGTTTCAAAAAGATTTCATTGGTCTTTAATTTTAAGTTTTAACAAATCAAGTAAGTAACTCAATGTCTCTTTGGTGTTTTCATTCCCTGAAAATTAATCTTAATATGAATTTTACTATTATACAGTAGTTATTATATTTTCTCTCTTGATTTATTAAATCAGGTTGAGTATGAAAATATGTATGATATTTATACGATTTATTTGTTGAATTCCTACTATTATTTTACTCAACATAAGTAAATCTATCTTTGATACTATGAGATTTTAAGTAAAACATTTTTAAATTGAACATATGAAATTGACGATGTATAATATTTGACTTTTTATGATATCTATTTTATAACAAGTAAAAAATATTATATTTTAGGTAATCTAAAATATATTTTGTTTTGGATTTCATGTCTTTTTGTGTTTGAGCAAAATAATAAGCTACTAATGAAAAACCATAAATTCGCCCATTCTTTTAAGTGAATGCAACATCATTTAATAATTATAGTCATTGACATTGAAAAGATCGCCACTAATCATTATTTTGACAATAAGAATATTTTTAACCATTAAAAATTAATAGATACATTTAACCAACAGAAGTGGATGGATACATTTAACCAACAAAAGTGAATGAATAGTAAAAAGATAAAAAAAAAGTAAACAAAATAAAAGGGATGTAGAAAATGTCTATCATCGATGTAGTATGAAAGGCCATTAGTTACGCACCTGTTATATACTGAAACATTTTGTTGAACTTTATCAAGCATCATTGAAAGCTAAAAGAAAAAATATATACTGAAAAAAATTTTATTCAAAATGATTTTAACCGTGGCCAAGTTTATATAACACATCTAGATGTTGCTGATTTTTTTTCTTCCCTAAAAGAAGAATTAATCATCTGATTGGTGATGTAAATATCCAAAAATGAAATTTCTTAATAGTTTGTTGGTACATTTTAGTATAACTTTATTAGAAAGATATTTTTATATGTTCTCATTATATATAACTGATATGTTTTTATTATATGTTTTAATAATAAATTCTATACTTAATGTTCTCTTATGTTAGTTTGTAAGTTTTTTCACTATATATCTTATTTTAAAATATAAATATTCATCTAGTTGGATTCAAAACTAATGATGCAAATATAAGTCTAGCAGATAGTGCTACAATACACATTATTTTTAAAGAAAAAAAATATATTTCCCCAATGAGTGAGAATTATAACATACACGATGCCTATTATTATTTCCATTTTAAATTTGATACATCATAAATATAACAAGTCATTTAATTTTTGACCACATTTAGTAAGGGGAAAAACCACAAGATCGTAGTCCATTGAAAATTTTCACTACGTAAAGGAATTAGATATACAATCGACATGTAACTCAAATGATCAATCTTCGACAACGAATAACAAGAGTTCTTCAACACTAATCTCAGTAAAGTAGAGCTGCTGAACCATATAAACCAATAGGGGTTCAAATGACAAGCCTTCAATGCTTCAACAATTAGCAAATGATGGAAAGATCTCAAAGAATAGACTTGTCGCTACAATGGATTTTTGATTATCTTGAGACTCCAAAGCTGTCTCCTTCATTTCCAAGGTCTATATATACCTTTTGATATAAAAATCTTGAAAGTTGATTGAGCTCGACAAACATGTCACTCTATGCATCTTGACTTTAAATGTTTATCAAAAAATAGAGATGCACTTGCAAGCAAATGCTTGACATAGTCAATCCACTAATACCTCAACATCATGCTCACCATTGGGACATCTTTCATCAAAATCGTCAATAACTAGGGAACGAACTCCAACCTTTAACCCAATGTAAATGGAAGCCCGTGCAAGGGCCTAAAGAGCAATAAAGAAAAGAATACCAGCAAAATACACATTCTACCTCAACCTATGTATGGAATTCTCCTATAATTGTACAATTTGATAATGCACCATTAGCAAAACAACACTAAGATACTAGAAATGCAAGAGGTTAAAAGGAATCAAGATGGAATCTATGTGAATCAGCATAAATATGCAATAAATATTATCAAAGAAATAGGTCTCAACAATGCAAAGATGGTGCAAACACCAATTCCAGAACAACACAATCTATCTAGTGAGATAGGGGACTTACTTGAGGATATAACTACATACCAGAGAATTGTGAAGAGACTAATCTATTTGAAATGACTCGATTGGACTTCTATTATACTATACAAGTTTTAAGCCAATTCATGCAATCACCAAGAGGTCCTTACCTTGCTATGGCAAAAAGATTGTTTGATATATCAAGAAATCTCCTAACCATGGCTTTTTTCATTCCAATATGAGCTTACTTGAGTTGAAGGTGTACTGTGACTTAGATTGGGCTACTTGTTCAACTATTAGGTGCTCATTTTTAAGAATGCTAACTTTTCTTGGAGATACTCCAATTAATTGGAAATCGAAGAAAAAACAAATGGTGTCTAGATCATCAGCTAATGCTAAATATCTACCAATGGCAATGACAACTACCTAACTGGTTTGGTTACTCTATATTTTAAAAGATCTATCATTTTCTATTACAAAACCTATTCCTTTATTCTGTGATAACAAGTCAGCCATACAAATTGCATCCAATTTAATCTTTCATGAGTGAACTAAACACATCAAGCTTGATTGTCATTTTATCAGAAAACACATTCAACAAAAGCTCTTAGCTCTCAAATTTTTCCCCTCACATAAGCAACTTGCAAATTTGTTAATCAAGGGACTTAGCGCTGAAACATTCAATTTACAATTAAATTGTATAATGGTTCACTCGTCACCAACCTAAGGAAGGCACAACGCAAATACCCATAATATCAATGGCAAACTTAGTGGAATCTGAACTCGTCACCCATAGCAGCTTGAAGGAGGTTATTACGAAATATATGAGTATCCTTAAATTAAGGAACATAATATTTTCATTATTCTAGCAACAATCTCCATATTTTAAGCAATAATATTTGGTAAACTCTTTAATTCTTTATATATTTATTTTGGCATATTTTTAAGAATTTTAGCAAATATTAAGAGTGACAGAATTCGTTCAAATTGTATATATATGTCTTCATTTTGTTAATAAAAATAAAATTTTTTTATTCTAAAATTGATTCATTGATATTTTCTACACAAATAAAACAAAAAAAGTAAAAGAAATGAAAAGAGATCAACATTAAAGTATATGCTTTTTTTTTCTTTTATTTGTATATAAGGATATATTTTACTATTTTTTTAACAATTACAATTGAAATAACAAGTAAACAGGGTAGAGTGAAACCTTTGACAAGATTAAATATAGTTTAAAAAAGGTTAAATTATGCAATTAGTCCTTATACTCTAACAAAGTGATGAATTTAATCCTTATACAATAATTTGTAAAAATTGAATCTCTATACTTTCTAAAATTGACAATATCAATTCAATTATTAATAGTATTTAAATTTTTTTATTATTTATGCTGGCATAACATTTTCTTATGAATGTACCATTCAATATGATAATCTATTAATCATAATATAGTATTTTTAATTTTTTTGAAAAATCATAATATAATATTTTTATTTATTTTATAATATTTTTTTACCATTTTAAATTATGAAGCATAAAAATTTAATTTTTCTTTATTTCATGACACTCATTTTCTAAATCTTAAAACTCTATCTGTATTTTGTTATATTTCTTGTCAATCCTATTTAAAGTCTTTTATCTCATATTAAATAATTTTATTCTCACACTTATAAAATCTAAATTATTACTTAATCACATCACGTCAACAATACTAGCGCATATAAACCCTGCTTCGAGACCCATAAACCCTAGTAAGTGGCGAAAACAAAGGAGACGAGAAGACTATGTCCATGGAACCTTCAGACAGGTGCGAATCATGGAGGGCACCATGTCCAGTTAGCCATCAACATCATCACCATGACCACCATCTGACAATCCTCTGTCCCCACCAGCACCATCACCACCGTACAATCCTCTGCCCTCTCCATCACCACCACCACCACCACCTCATTACTTGTCATTCTCACGTAAGCCCTGCTTTGGCTCCTCTTCCTTTGCAGAACTACTTGAATTCGGGGTCGAAAACTGTTCAAAACGAAGCCCACGACTCTGGTACCCTGTAAGTTTCTCCAACTCTTTGTTCTTTTTTTGACTCCGAAGACAAAAAAACTAAAAAAAAAAAAAGCCATTTATGAATTCTTTTTTCGAATTTGTGATATGGGTTTTCGCGACAAATCTTAGTTAATTTGAGTTGAAAAGTGGTTGTTAATGTAATTTTGCCTTTGTACATGAATTTGCTCTGGTTATCTATATTCTGCTCATGGCATAAGTGCTATGCAGTTTTAACAAAAAAAAACTGAAATGCTTCTCAACTGGGATTTTTTTTTTTCAATTAAGTGAAGAATAGCTTGTCTGAATTTGGTTTTCTATGTTTTGGCGGGTAATCAGGGTGTTACAAGAGCAAGAGTGCGAAGGACTAGAAGAGGGAGAGGTAGAGGAAGAGGATGAGGAGCCAATTTTTGTTCTAACTGATGAATGGAGGGAGTTTTTTGCAAAATCCGAAGCAAAGAGAAAATTAGGTAGCAATTTTCTTTCTATCCTCTTTTAATATGCTTCTCTTGCGAATCTAGTTTCTGATCATCATCTGTACTTGGGTAGCGCAGAGAAGAAGCAGGCTAAGAAGAAACAGCAAAAACTAAATTAGAAGTTGCTTGTCATCTCTGGCTAACATGAGGCTAGCTCGAGAGGTTAAACCATCTTCTTTATTGAATTTCAGATGTTGAATTGAAAATACTCTAGATTGATGCATTTTATGAAGACATCATAAAATTTATTTTGCCAATATGATTTGGCCCTTTCAATATTGCGAGAGAGAGCGCGTTGGATATTTTGTTTAACAAATTATTCAGGAATGTAAAGGCATAGTCCATATCTCTTTATATAGCAAATCAAGAACTCTATTTGAATGTCCTCTACCATGGTTTAAGAGCCTGTTAAAGCCCCCTACTCGATCAATGATCTAATTACACATTTCTATTTACACCCTTTCTTAATGCTCTTTAACTAAAACGATGGTATGCAGGATATGAGGGTTATTGCTAATAAATACAAAATCAATTACACAATCACTTGGAATTCAGCTGAAATTATTTGAATTATTAAAAAAAAAACTCAAGTGTAATTAGGCATTAACTGTAATTATGTTCTACAAACATAACTAATTATGGTCTGCCAAGCCCTGGAGGCATCAAACCAGGAATCGATGCTTTCACTTCTGCCTGCACCATATTTCCTGTTTCCTTGCTTAAAGGGGCAAGGAAATAATATTCACTCATACAACGGTGTACGCCAGTATATTTCCAGCTAGCGGGCTCATTCATCCATCTAAGGCTTAAGAGCAAGTTTGCTGAAAGCAGTATTTATTCTTTCATCTGCGATCATTTTGTTGTTTTCATAGAAATCTAAAATCTCCATCGAGATATTTTTCACCTGCCAGTTTCAATTAAAATAAATTTAAAATGTCAACGAGTAAAGCACTCCCTATAAAAATATGACATGGACTTAATAGAAGTCTATTTAATATTCACATTGACATGCAATGCTTGAATTAGAAGATGGTGATAAGTAAACACAACGCAATTACAGTAGACCGATCTCAGAAAATGGATTATATTTCTTTCCAGTTAAATATATGAGGTAAGAAATTTTCCTAGAAGGCAGCTACTTTGTAGTATTACATGGATTCAATTAAACAAAAGTTCATACCAAGACATGTGTCTGTGTATGTGTGTGTGTTTTTTTGTAACAAAGGAAAACACAACATTGTGGATCAGATTTAGCTTAGAAAACTCACCACATTCATGTCAACACGAAGCTCTTCAAACCAAGATGTGATATCTTTCTCTCGGTATACAGTAGCAATGTATATGCAAGCTAAGGCAATCAAATATGGAGGATGTATAAGAATAAGGTCCATCTTGTATGTGTCATTTACAAGTCCCCTGTGATTCAAAATGCCAAATTTTAGTATATGTATTCAGTTGCATAAAACTTTAAAGGAGAAAAGAGAAAGAATCCATAAGACAAATTTAGACCAATGATTGATCCCTGATTTAATTAAATCCTTAATGAAAATTGTGGATGAAAATTATATTTAATGTTTAAGATGATGATCTGTCTCTCACTCTGGATACTATGAAGTTGAAAACCAGCAACACACATTAGAGAGACCAAAATATTCCTAAGTTTCCATCCACAATTTTCATTCATTTCAGTGTAGACAAAACAGTTTTCTTAAATACAGCTGCACTTGACTCTTACCTCAGCCACCTTTGATTCTCGGTTTCTTAACCAAAAAGTATTAGCAAAGTGACCAACTTCAAATACAGCTCAAAAGTAACCACAAGATAATCTACAATACTATAACATTAACATGATCCTATTTCCTATCTAGCTTCATAGGCCAGGTAACTCAAAAATTGGAAAATGAACAGTCTCAAATCAGGCTAAGTATTATCTGTTTGATTTAGATATAGGATGCCAATCACACCCTTACAGTCATCTTTGATCCTAAACATCAATACTACTATATGTACGTGTTTTGGCATGTGTATGTGTAATGCAACTTTGATCCTTTCTTCCTTTTAAATATATAATACAAAAGCCACATGGTACACATACCGCTGGCAGAGCCAAAGGTAAAATATTTTCACCAGCTCTTGTTTAAAAGTTGACGACATACAGGACAAAAAGTGGATTTTTTCTTTAAAGCATATTGCTGACTTGCACCAAATATTTTGAACTTCAAAATACTGATGTTGGAGTTTTGACTCTTACCAAGATAATTGAGTCATATTCATATCACTCATGCCAGCATCCTGCAACAACCTGTCAAGGTGACAGGCATAAGATACTATTCAGATGTGTCAAAATAAGCAATGATGTAAATGGGCAGAAAGAACAGTATTGGCATAATTTAAACGTAAAAGTAGCTTAGTTGTAATAAATTTGCTATTTTGATATTCCAAAAGGTCATCTTAAAGTTCTATATCAACTGTAAATTATTAGATAAGGCTGCTTTGAGTTTAGGTTGATTAAAAATGTTTTCATAAGTAATACATTATCATAAAAAGAATTATATGTGCATCTCTATAATATAAAACAAGAATTCACTAAATGCTAACCTAATTCTACAGGGAATAAATTAACTGATATCAAATGATAAATACAAGCACGTCACTTTGGGGATCTGAAAAAGATTTAAAAGAACTAGGAAGCACAGACACGAACAAGCAATATTGGTACCATACAATATGGACACAATGACACGGCAATTTCTAATACATTAGTATAGTTATTGTAGGACACAGTGATAAAAAATATTTTTGATATACTTTTTATGCATATATTTTCAATATAGATGTAAATATTGATACTTTTCATTCAAATATAATGAATTTCTTCACAAAGACAAGCCTTGTTATGCAGAATTAGGCCATTTTTATTTTTATAGAGCCCAAAATGCATAAGGATTAAAATTAGAATGGTAACACTAATCTAAAGAAGGTAACACTGATCTAAAGATCTCTTGCTGGAGCTGGGTTCTAGTCATGCAATGAAGACAAGTTTGATAGTTTTAGCTGTGTCATACAAAGATCCCACATCCTGTCCAGGATCGTACTGCATCGGCGACAATACATCTCGATTTTTGCTGAGTCCGAGCAACTCTGATTGTTGATTCCAGATTTTGGAAAGAATATGCATAAAAAGCAAAAAAAAAAAACCTTCCATCCCGTGTCCAGCTGTGTTTAGACGTGTCTTGACTGTGCCCAATTTTTTTGGCACATCCAAATATGTTGGACACGTATCCCTCCAAGTCGGACACATGTCCAACACCAGTATGCAGGGATCAAGAGGGTGTGCCCATGCTTCATAGAAAAGAACAAAAGAAAAAACCAGGGAATATAAGAAGTGTACTAGAGTTAGAGCTTAACATAGAAAGTAGATAGAATGATCTTACAGGATCCTATTTCCAAAGGAGTCTTAACTTCCTCTTTTTTTTAACTGAGGGAAGGACCATTCGAACCTTACTCTCTAGGTAGGAGATCATGCACCAACCAATTAACTAAATGCTCGGGTACTAAAATAGTCTTAACTTATTAAGGCAAAACTTATGTTTTCATGATACCCCGTATTCTATCAATAAAATTGTTAACCATGCAAAAGATCAATAGTGCAAATTAAAACTACAAAGGCATAAAATTATGGAATTCAAGTTAAAAACTTACTGAGACAATGTGCGGTAAGGATGAAACACAACTAAATAATAGTCAAGTGCTTCTAATATCTTCATTTCCATTTCAAGTATATCTTTGATTTCATATCTATATTTTTCATCAGAATCTGCAAAGCACACATGGCAGGATTTTAGTAAACAATCAAATTTCTTGAAATTTCAAAGCATTAATACCAACTTAGTAAGGAGTAATTACATAATTTTTTTGTGTAAAATACAAGAAGTCTAGCTTGCACTGTGCTTTCTTCTGCCTTGGATGCCAAATATAAGCAAGTAGGAGCAACAAGACGAGGATCATATTCGGTCATACTCTTTCTGTAAGACAAAAGAAAATACATAATTAGCGTAGATGCACAATTTTGGCTAACGAATTATTATTCCTTTAAATGTTGTTTTACAGAATGAGAACAAGTGTAGTACAACTATGTCACACGAAGAGCAATAAAAGTAACTTAGAACAAGTGGCAGGGTTCATGAGTTATTTAATCTTTCGGATGTTCTAGAGTGCATGGTTCAGTGGCTCAAATATAGAGGTAATTAAAAGGTCTTCCTCTTAACCTTTCCTTGAAGTACACGTTCTTTAACTTTTCCCTCTTTCTCAAGAAAACACACTGTTAAGTGTCACTGAGCTCTACTATCTCATTAAACCAAAACATCCTCCTACTACCCAATACATGTAATGGGCTAATGTGCTATCCCCATGATAAACTTGTTATTTCATAATGAATTTGTTCTTCCTATCTTGAGCATGTTCTTCCCATGATATCCGATAAACACTTTCTACCCAACCATTCCAAAGAAACCATTTCTACTTTGTGTGTGTGTGTGTGTGTATAGGAGCTTGGCAATTCAGAGACATTAAAATTTCACTAGATTCCCTCTCTAAGATATTCTCTCTAAAAGTTTTTCCTAAGCTCTTCCCAAATACTCTCTCTTCTCCGCTCAACTCTTTCGTATCCTATTCTCCACCATTCTCTGCCACTAGACTTTCTCTCTACTTTTTCCCTAACTTGTATCCCTCACCTGCTGCCACAAAGCACTTAACACTTCAAGGACTACTCCACCGGCTCTAGTGCCTCTCACTTTACTTGTTGCAACACATTGTATGGAGGAAATTTGAGGTTTCTACATAATTTAGGTTCAATGCATCTCTATACCTGTAATAATTCATGGTTGCAGGATGGTTCAACGAGTAATGACATAAGTGTCTAATTGTGCATTGGAAATTAATTATAAAGTTGTAACTATGACGACCATGTCTTATGTGAATAATTAGCAAATCATGTAGGCCAAAGGATTGAGTTATTTAAGAGAAACTGCATAAATCAGGAAATGCTATGTCACTCAAGATGAATTTGTAAGGTGTAAAAAAGCAGGAATATTGCAATTGAAAAATCACAAGACAATCATGGTTTGAGAAAAAAATCAGAGGATAGGTTAGATCTACTTGTCATCAATGAGTAGCATGCCCTTCTACATCACCATTAATAAACTAGGCAAAAAATACCTGGTATAGACGCGTCTCATATATGTAACTGCAGTTGCTACAACCCTGGAATACTGAACACATCTTAGACATAACAGAAATTGGTAAAAGTTTAACTAGAAAAGGAATTTTTTGTGCATTGAATTTGTAATCACACAACAAGATGTACTAAATTCATTACGCGAACTAAGGGTGCAGAAGAAAGAAACATATTAGATGCACACTTTCCAGGAAAAGTTGGTCTCACAAATGAAAGAAACTAACTCTGTTTAAGCATGATATCATGTTAAAGGATACATAATCTTCATGACTCCTTTCAGTTACCAAACTTCGCATGATTACTTGCTACTATTTTCCACATAGAATTCGCAATCAACTTCTTTTAAAAGGAAGCCATTGCGTTAAAGGAGATAGTTATAGCAGACAACGTGCTTATGTACAGATTAATTTTGATAAACCAATATATGAGGTCTGCGAATGATTTCTCATGCACGTGTATCTAGGTAATTAAAGCTAAAATCAGTAAAAGCAGAGATACATAACAGAAAATCAGAAACCTATGTTTTCTCATTTTTAAATTGCTCTGTAGATCTTCAGTAAGTGATCAAAAAAAAATGTTCTCTGCCTTTAGATAGTCCAGTTCAGTTCAGTGGTAGCACTATGAGACAGCTAGCATATAAGCATCCGAGGCATAAAAATAATATATAAGGCAAGTGAAAACAAGATATTAGTCACACCAGCAGTTGAACTACTTCAGATTCACCAATAAATGCTACAATTAAACAATGTCAGCATAGAAAAACAACAGCAGTACAAGCAATTTAGAAAGGAGAAGTAAAGATCAAAATTTGATGGCATGCACTGAATGAAATGGTCAATCGTTTAAGTAAACAGAAAGGTACTCTTAAAAAAAAACAAGAGATAAGATCAAACCTTTGCCTCACTTTGACATGTTGAGCCAGTTTCAATATATCTAAGGATGGAAAGAAAAAGGCCCAAAATCACCAACTTTAATGAGGAAGGCATGCAGGATAAAACTCCAATTAAATTAGGCAATGCACGTATTGGCATGCAAAAAGCTTTCTTAAACACCAGCCATTTTCTTTCATTATTCTAACAACAATAATAAGCCCCAAATAGATTAAGCCACAAAGTAAATTTTAGTGTGAAAATGTAATTTGTGGCTATGAATATTGTTTTGTTGATAAACTCGTGTGACATCCATGCTAAAACCAAATATTAAAGCTGTATTAAAAATGAAGGGACCGCTGATTCTTGAAACAATCCTATGTTGACAAAATAATAAGTAATCGAATGCATCAATTCTGCTTTTCCTCACAATACAAGTACTTAAGATGATTAAAATGCTCGTGATTTCGAGTACCCAAGATTTGAAATTAGAAATTCCCGTAGACTATACATGCAGAAATAAACCTCACAACCAAGCCAAAAGTTTGAAGCAAAAAGAACTGCTATTCCCAATAAATAACAAAAAGGCAGATTATAAGCTTCATAAAAAAGTCCTCAATTTACAAAATCAAGTATAAAAAAATCCGAATCAAAACCCATAAAAAAAAAAAGAGTAAGAGAGAAAGGGAACATACAATTCGCCATATGCATCTTGATGAGCTTAAATTCTTCAAGAGTGATCCCTTTATCTTTATCTTGTTGATGTACCACATCAACCTGTTCTGGGTCCAAAAGCTGCTTGCTGCACAAACAAAAAATGAATAATAATAATAAAAAAGACAACAAAAACAGCAAATATTAAAGCAATCTACGAACAAACGATGGACTAAAAATCAATGAAAATAGTTTGATTTGGTAGTTACCAGTGAGAAGATGTCCAGAAGTTGGCCGCCATTCTTTTGCTTGTTTTGGGAGCAGATTCGTGTTGGTGTTTATTTAGCTTCCTCCAGGAGACATGATTAACGTTTCAAAATTTAGGATTTACTTATATGTCGTGGTGTTACACTTGTCAGGATTTTGTTGAGGTCGATTAAGGAGGCCATCTCTGGATTGATCGGAAATGAGAATTTGGCCCAAGTTTAGGAAATTTGGGCTGTGTTGGGTTTGTTAGTTCGCAAAAAATAATTATTAGTTTGTGAATTAGTGCAACTATAGATATCGGATTGGTAACTTGAAATTAGCTCATTATTAAAAACTTTTTAGCGGAAAATTATTTTCATTAAAAAATTTTAATATTTTCTATTCTTTAAATCACCTTCAGAAAATATTTTAGAGGCAGTAATGACATTACTTATAGCAACATATATCTTATTGTTTTTGTTGATATTTTTTTAAAATCAAAGGTTATCTCTTCATATAAAAAGTTATTTTAACTCAAAAATTATGTCACATAATGAAAAGCTATCTCAACTCAAAGATTATGTTACATAGTGTGATATTGTGTGTTTATTGGATTATACGTGATTTTTTCATATTAATAGTTATGTCTCTTGATAAAATGACATATTGAAAAAAATACATTTAAATCCAAAGGTTATAACACAATTGAAAAACACCACAACTCAAAAGATTGGATATGAAAAGTTACTTTTTTCATATTGTAGTTGGAAAATTATGTCTTATGGAATGAATAGTTGAAACAATATGTTTATCTAAGGATTGTGTCTTGCAATATGCAAAGTTGTTTTTAAAACATGGATGTAACTTAATAAAAGAGTTGTATCCTTAAGAAAAGACACTTACAAGTCCGTATAAAGCACTTGTTACCAACCATTTTGACACATAAAAAATAAACAAGATGAGCAAAAAAATCAAGAATAAGAGAAGTGGTACATTATGAAAATTAATATAAACACTTGAGTTCCCATTAACTTACAAAAGAGTCTAAATTCTTTATAATCTACTTATGGCAGAAAGTAGGTTCTAAAGTTGAAGAACTTTGCAAACTCTCAAGTGTATCTAGCGATTTACTCTTGTAAAGTGAAAGACGAAGTTACACATTGGTTTTATTATATGCTATTTGCATAATTCTTTTTTGTCTATTGAGTGGTGAGAGTGAAATAAATCTTAAAGGTAGCGTCAATTGAAAAACATACCTTGAAGTTAATTTTGTTGGTTCCTTGAATTCTATCTAAACCCCTTTTGCATAAACAATTTTAAAATTTAAATTTCATGTGATTGGAATTCAAAATGCCTTCACTTAAAAGAGATGGCTACCAACATTGTCAAATTAAACCACTTTGGAAGAGGAAACTTTATTCATTACCAAAAGTTAGATCGGTTTAATGTTGACAAAAATAATCTATGGATCAAATTCGTTTGTGGCAAAATGGTTTCACATCGGATTATAAGATAAGTTTTCTTTCCTTACTTGGTATGAATAATATTGTTTCTTATATAAATAGTTAACGCATATTGGTTGAAAAGAAGTATTTTGTCACATCCCTAGATGATCATTTTGTTATGGATAAATTTCATTAGCTTAAGCACATGCTTAATCACTTTTGGCAATATAATATTAACATGGATGAAGCTATGGTTGTGTCTTCTATAATTAATAAACTTTCACTCTCATTAAGAGACACTAAGAAAACTCTAAAATATAAGAAAAAATAGATATCTCTCGAGAACCTTGGTAATCATCTTTGAATAAAAGAAAATGAAGTTAATCAAGATGAATGATAACTCTCTGATATAGAGTTATTTGGACTTAATTTTGATAGTAATTTAGCTTAGTTCTTATAGTAATGTATAGAAACTAGTAAGTTTAATTTAAATTATTTTAAGTTAGTCAATTTAGGTGAGTCAATCTAATTTTAGTTAATTTTATGATTAATTTGGTGTTAATGTGATTAAGATAAGTTGTTATTAATTTATTTGTGCTTTTATAGGTTTAATGAAGGAAGAATTTTAATGGAAGAAAGAATGCAATTTCAAGGTGCAAACTTTTATTGTACAAGTTTTGATATTTTGACCATAACTCTCTTTACAGAGCTTTAAATAAGATGATTCTTAAACCATTGGAAAGATAAGGGAAAAAGCTACAACTTTGATGTTTACCACTTCACCTAGTTCAACTTAGAAGAATTACAACTTTTGCTATTTTAATGGTTAAGGTCGTGGTTTTGGAGGAGGTAGGGCACAGCTCACATAGTTTGATGAGGAAATCCTATTGAAATTGACTACTTTCTTCACCTAACTTGACCTAACTTTAAAACGTTATAAAAATAACCTTTCGAAGGACTTTTAGGAGATAGCAAAACACCAGACTGAAAGTTAAGAATCAAGCCGCAAAGTCATTGAGAAAGATTCAATGAGATTTGGAGATCAAGATTACAACTCTTGAGTTTTTCTATCTTTTTGTTATTCTTTTATTTTATTGGTTTTGTTTTGAATGTTTAAATTTTATCTGATGATGATGTGTGACTTGATGGGGAACTAATTTATTCATCTAAGATTATAATTGAACTCAATATACAGTCTAATTTATTTATCTCTCTTTTACCTATGTTTGATGGATTTAAGTTGTTTATTTTATTTTGTTCTTAATGCTTTTAATTGTCTGATCACCAATTAGATTGAATTGGAAACCTAAGTTAAACCTTGACAAAGGAAATTTAGGTAGACCTTGAATAAAATAGCATATGATCGAATACACTTAGTTGATTAAGTGATTTGATTTGCATATAGGGTACAGAAACACCTATAAGCTATATGTAGCCAAAATCAAAACACGAACTTAATAAATTTGTCATTAATTTAATTTGTATAGATATATAGTAAATTAAGTAGGAGAGATATTTTTATAAGAAACTCAAAAGAGACTTGCAAATAATTTAAGACTCTAGACTAGCAACTTAATCTATTAAACTAAGTTAAGAGATAGAGACAATAATCAGATGAAATATTGAGGGGCATTATAATCTTAGGTTCAGTAATTATTAGAAGTTAATAAAATAATTTTGCTGAGTAAATTTAGAGTAGTTTTAGTTTTAATTTTTTTTAATTTAAATTTTAGTGCTTGGATAAAATTAAGGTATGTAATTTTAGTAATTAATAGTAAGAATTAATTCAATTCACTGTGAGATCGACACTCTACTCATTATTATAATATCTTTGCTATATGTATACTTGTGTAGGTAGAAAATTGAACAACATGATAAGGATAAAGATCTTAAAGTAAAGAAACTTGAGACTTTAACGGTCCATGTGATGGAACACAAACCATTAAACAAGCCGGTTTTGTACAATGAAAGAAAACGTTATGTTTGTATGAATGACAAAAGTCATAAGATTAAAAAGAACAAAAATGGTCCATGTTTCCATTGCAACAAACTTGGATACTTCAAGGCGGAATGTAGACTTTAAAAATACAAGACACAAGGTGTGAGCAATAATAAGTTTATTTCCATGGTTTCCGAGGTCAATCTTCTCCAAAACGATAGAGCATGGTAGATTGACACTGGTGCAATGAAGCATGTATGTAAGGATAAAAGTTTCTTTCCTTGGAAATGGTTAATGATGGAACTGAGTTATACTAGGAAAATTCCTTCTTTACTCTAGTGAAAGGAAAAAGCATTATAGAACTCATGTTTACTTTTGGAAAAGTACTTGTACTAAACAATTTCTATTACATAACATAAGTTAGAAAGAATCTTGTGCTTGTGTCTTGTTGAATAAGTATGACTTCAAATTAGTATTTGAGGCGGATAAGTGCATCCTTACAAAAGGTAGAGAATATGTGGAAAGTTGATACTTATGTGAAGACATGTTCAAGCTTAATATTAATAATAATGCTATTAGTTCTACTTAGATTGATGCCTTAGTTAATGTTCATGATAGTAAAGTAGCATTGTCTAATCGATGGCATAATAGACTAGGTCATGTCCATTATCAAAGAATGCATGATATGGCTAAATTAAAGTTGATACTTAATATTAATGAAAATGATTATATGTGTAAGACGTGCATGTTTACTGAAATCACAATAAGCTCATTTCCTAAGGTAAAAAGAAATTCCAAATTGCTTGCTTTAATAAATTTTGATGTTTGTGACATGCATAGTATTCTATCTATTGGTGGAAATAAATATTTTGTAACATTTATAAATGACTTTTTTAGATATTGCTATGTTTACTTGGTGCATGTCAAAAATGAAATAATAAAAAGTTTAGAATCTATAAAAATGAAATTGAATTGCATTGTGAATTTTTTATCAAATGTTCATGAAGTGATAAAAGAGGTGAATATTATGATCCAAGTATTTTTAGCCCATTTGGTATTATTCATGATACTACCGCTCCATACGCATTAGAACAAATCGTGTTAGGAAATGTAAAAATCGAGTTCTTATGAAAATGGTCAATGCTTTGCTTTATAATTCAAATTTGGGAAAAAGATTTTGAGGCTAAACTTTATTAATGACCTACCATATACTAAATAGAATCCTAAACAAAAGAGTAAAACTACTGCTTATGAGCTATGGAAAGAAAGAAAGTCAAATTTTAAATATTTAAGAGTTTAGAGATGTCAAGCCATAGTAAAAGTACCAAAACCAAAGAAAAGGAAATTTTGTGAAAAAAGAATTGAATGTATATTCATAGGAGATGCTAAACATATTAAAGCATATTGGTTCATGGTGATAGAGCCCAGTGAAAGGAGGAATATGTATTGTCGTAAGATGGCTGCTCACACTTGCAATATAATTTGTTGATCCACTATTTCCAGGACAGCCTTACAGGATCATCAATCAAGTGGTAAAATTACCAACTGGATAAAAGTCATGTGCATTCATGGAAAGACTTAGAACAAGCATTTATAGCTTAAAACAAACATGTGGCAAACATGGCTTCAAACCACTTGACCTTACAAAGCATGAAAAAGAAAGTTACTAAA